ACGAAGACAATGGTGGCAGGGCTCCACTAAAAAATGTAATTCTTTAAATACCCCCACCCCCGCCCACTTTAAAGGCAGATCTTCGTGAGTCCCAGCAGTCCGACCTTTTGGGAGCCCATCAAACCCCGAGCTTCTCAGTTAATAAAAGGTAATAACGACAAAGTTGCCTCCTGTTTGTTTGTTTTTCGTCTTTCAGCAGTTTCTTCCGCTGGTTTCCCGATTCCGGCCAGCCACTTGCGCCGTGTATCTTGAGCCCAAATGCAGGTCATTTGGCAATTAGGTCGCTGTAGTGCCTACCGGCGCTTCCTTTTAACTCCCCCTCCAAAAAATTAAGAAAATGGAAAACAGCAGCCAGTGTCATTTGATTTATGCATTAAATTCACAACCGCCCACGGTTGCTAATTAAATTCTACTCAAATAATCAAACAGACAATCTGCAGACGTCGCCACCAGCAGGCACAACAATAACCACGGAATGCGACTGCAGCGGCAGCTGCGGCATCTGCAGCCTTTCTATTTACCAGTTTTATCTCGGAAAAGGCTGTCAGCCTTCGGAGCACTAAGAAAAACTGTACAGGAGGAGCAAATACAGAGTGGGTTTCTCAAAAGTCAAGGAAACTCTTAAAAAAAGTGTGTACCCTTTTGTAAATTTATATGGGAACAATATTTATGCTACAAATATTTTGTTTTACTAATTGATTACAATAGGTGGGTTTATAATAAAGAACTTCTGTAACAAATATTTTTAGCATTATACATGACCAGTGGGGTTGTAGCTGTTGGTGTACCATAAATGAATTTAAAAACCAACATATTTATATTTTAAGTTTAAGCTCATGCGAAATGGTGTACAAATTGCTCACCCAACACGTGATGTCAGTTAAACAAATTTGTTGATCTAAGGCCACAGTACGTATGAGCGATAAACTTTATATCTAATGCACAGAGCCGAAAACGTATTTTTTGAAACTCAACTCTTCTTTATAATATTTAATATTTCACACGGACATATTAAATAGCCAAAATGTCAAAAAATATTAAAAAAGCTTACAAAAACAATTAATAAATTTTCATTTTCCAGCAAATACCCTTAGTCGTTTTACAAATTCAATAAAAATTTCCCAGAAATTCTTATTAATTTCCTGAAATTAAATTAACTAAGTTCAAGGCCAAAGACGCAATTATTTGCCCAAGTGCAGAGAGTCCTATGGCTTCCACTTTTTCACACTGCTCAAGTGGCCGGCGGAGAGCGGCATCCGCATCCTCGAGCATAATGAACACTTGACTCCTTTGGCTTTTGCCCGTCCTGCAGATGACAATGCCCAGTGCAAACATTTCACCGCAGGCTAAGACAAAGGGCTGACAAAATGAAGCGAGTGGCTCGCGAGTCCTTGGGTCCTTGAGGTTTCAAGTGTTCTTTTGAGGCGTAAAATGGGCAGGGCCGGCAGAGCTATAAAGTTTCGATGCTCTCCAATTGACCCAAATAAGGAATGCAGCAGCAGCGTGGATGTGAATTCTTTATGCCTTCCTGGTAGCCGAAAATATGCGAGCGGTGCTTACCTGTTTGAAGCCATCGTGGCCATCAACATGAGTTAATACAACTAAAAGCCCCTTGGGGCCTGTGCACGTTCCGGCGGCATTCATTTGCCTATGTAAATTGTGGGGCTCGAATAAATTACAAAATTAGTCGGAACACACGAATTTCGTGTCGTCATCTCATCTCTCTGGCTCTGTGTCTGGCGTAAAAACTATTTCAATTTAAATTCTTATCGTATCGCAAACTAGGCAAATGAGTCATGAAATCTCCCCATCGGCAATCTTTAAGCGCCCTTGTTCCACCTTGTTCTCAATGTCCTTGTTGCCAATGGCCGGGCCATAAGCCGCTTAGCTTTCACTATTGCCAGGCCTAACTTTTAACGTTTCGACGCCTTAAAGATTGCCTTTCGGCTCGGCTTCGGTTCCAGTTTTCAGCCACAGTCACAGCCAGAGTCTCAACGATATCCCACATCCCATATCCCGTCGCCTCCTGGTATCACATATCTTACTTAACGTGCCTGCGAGACTTTTTTCATTAGGATAAGTCTATTTTATGCCAAGCATCCGCCCCACAAAACACACATGCCCCTGCACACATGTACATGCCACATGCCACATGGCGCATGGAAGTTTTTGGATTCGTTCTGGATCCCGGAGTCGGGAGTCTAGAGTCTGATGCCCGGATCCCGGTGTCCTGGCCTTTGCCAAAATGTTTATTTGGTTCCTCGTGTTATTTATTTTATGGCACCTTTTGCCATACTTTATTTTTCTGCTATTTGGCTGCTTTTCGGCTACAGCTGTGACGCCTGCTCCTCGATGGCTGCTCATCGATATAACAATATCCTTTTGATGTAATTTCCGCTTATGGCTTATTTTCACAATGGCAGGTGTAAAGGTAATCGTTGATTGTAAGTGCCTGCCAAGCCAGCCGACAGGATTTTATAAGCTAGATATGTGTGCGAGTGTGTGTGTGTGAGTGTGAATGTATCGGCTGAGTGGTGTGGGCTGATTGTGTGTTTGTTTGGCTTTTATGTCATTTCTCAATTATATTTCAATCATTTTTATTACATCTCCTAATGCCCAAAGAAGATTACTTGCCATCATAAATAAGTTATAAATTTAATTGGAAAAGCTATCTCTGTGTGCGTGTGAGCTCGCCATTTTCGAACGGATCTATGTGTGGGTAAAAATCTGTGTCTGTATCTGCGTTTCTGTATGATTCCTACCATTTCCGTCGCTTAATTAGTTGCTAAATTATTACCACTCCGGGCTGACACGGCCGCATCTCAAGTGACAGCCAATCGATATGTTGCTGCGACCTGCGTCGCTCTTTATTGTTGCACATTTGATTTCAATTGATTTGCGGCACGCATGACACCCGTGACACGCGAGGAAAACAATGCCAATCATGGCTCGCAATTCGCATTAATTTCCACATGGAATAAGGCCGCATAATTGCGGCACTCGTTCCACTGAAAATTGGCTTAGCTGGCGTTGCGTATACGCCGCGTGGTTACCCCCGGGTGGTGGACCTACATCAACATAAAGCATACGCCCCATTGTGCGGGAAATGCGGCACTTGTCCGCTTAATAAAGTAGACCCTTCTGTAATGCGTGCCCCAAACTTATGAACTGCAAAAACAGCTTTCGGCCTCAAACCATTATGTATATATTTTTACATTATTTGACTTTGGTAATTAACCTTTAATTTATGTTTTAATGCAGTGTCATAATTTGATTATCCTTTAATATCAACTTTTTTAATTATTTTATCATTTAAATTATATTCTTAATAAGATTTGAATCTTTTCAGTCGTCTGTTTAATTAGAATTTAACATATTAATCATATTAAAAAATGTAAAATGTTGCCAATATAAGTTTCGGACCATTCATTGTACTATCAACATTTTATATGAAGTTATTGTAGCAGTTTTGTCACTTTCTTATGATATATTAATGCAATCTGCATTTTGGTCGTATAAATATCAACTTTATCATTTTTACGACATTTTGCTCAGGGCGCCAAAGAAATTACAATAAAGAACTCTTAATTAGCATATAAATTGCAGGCAGATGACCATTAAACACTAGATGTCCGCCAAAAAGAGTTCAAAAGAGCGCCTTAAATCAAAAGAAAATAAGATTGAAATCTCATTACTTACCAATAAATTTAAATCCACTCGCTTGGGCTGAGTTCCAAGAGTTCGTTTGGCACTCAGGTGTTAAGATATACGGCAGCACGCACCGTGAGTTACGGATTGCCTTATAAATAAATACGTTCGTGGCCCAGTTTTCTTGTTTCTTTTTTTTTGTATTTTGGCCCAGCTGCTTGTTGCCAAGGTGCTGATTGCAATTACTTGTGTGTGACGACGACCCGCTACTTTCGAGTGGAGTGCGGAGTGCGGAATACGGAGTCCGCACTCCGGCGGAGTTCCACGCCCACTCATCCGCCGCCGCATGTTTACGACCGACCACATCAGCTGTGGTGTTGGTGTGGCACTGCCACAGTGCCGCAGTGGCAAAAGCAACAGGCAATAATGCCCAAGTACTTGCCCGGGACCAGCACTCGCACCCATATCCATACCCATACCACGACCCGGATCCAGATCCGCAGCCGATGAATTGCGTGACTGTGCAAGTGAAGCTGTGGATATAATAAAAGTAATTAACAAGTGTTTGCGCTGCATGATGCGGAATTTCAGGCGCGGATAAGCGAGCATACGTGTGGCATATGGAATATGGCGGAGGTGTGCGATTCGCCGGCGAATGAATGGCACTCTGAATACGGAATTCGGAAAGGGAATTGCTTTAAGTGGCGCACAAAAAGTCTAATAACGCGCACAAATACAAAAGGGCCGGCGATCGAAGCCCCAAAATCTCTCGACAAATACTTTTGACAACCCGGGATTTTTGATGCTGAAAAACAACAGAACGTAAATTGAAAAGTTTTACACTTAATGCAGGTGTATGTGCGGGTGTGGGTGTGTGTGTTCGAATGGGTGTGGGCATAGAAGCAGCTGTGTGCGTGCGATTGTGTTTCAAAACTCCGCTTAAAGGCCCCGAGCTGGAAATCAATTTGTGTGCATTTATTGAAAATTGAATTTCCAATGAGCAGCGGCGCGTGCACACATGTTGCTCCTGCAGGACCAGGATTCATCCTTGAAATGGCTGCTGAAATGGGTCTAGTTCTACTCGGATCCTGCGAGCCGAAATTCAGGCATCAGGGGTCAGGCTTGTTCCTGCATAATTGCCATGTAAAACGGTTTGTTCTGCTGCCACTTACTTAATCCCTTCACTTTTGTTGCAGCCAATTCTGGGGCACTCTAAATTCTGCACTGTTAACCAAACTTGAAATTCAGAGTGAAAATGGTAACGAAACATAACACATTTCAGATGTTTGTTTCAATTCCAGTTAAGTTACAAATTGTTACTGAAATTAGAACAAACACCAAACCCTTGAAAACGCTGTCATGAGAAGTCGAAATTTGTTGTGTTGTGTAATACTTTCACTACTTCTGCCACATTCATGCCGTGCAGATCCGTCGCAGAATGATTCTTCTATATCCTTCAATCGTGCTAAGCGCTTATCCGACGCCCAATTTAACGAAGAGACCTTACGATTGTCGAATTATGTAGTATCCATTAGGACGCGAACTGCGTTGAAGTATTTTGGAGACAATCATTTCTGTACTGGGGTTATCCTGTCTCCACTGTATGTTTTGACCTCCTCGCACTGCCTGATTAAGTGGGTATTCCGTTCGCTTTAGTTAGTTAATTAATATTTAAGCAATTTCGCAGCAAACGAAGGATTAAGTATGCCAGTCGAATGCTGCTCATTGTTGCTGCCTCTGTCAACAGACTCAAATATATTAAGCACAGGACCTTTGTAACTCCTGTACAGAATATAATTTTGCCTGACAACTTTACAATGGTCAATAAACAGGATATCGGACTATTAAAGTTGAAGCAACCACTGCCAAGGAACAATAAGTACATTTCTGTGGCTAGGTTGCCCCAACATCCTCCTGAACCTGGTACCCTATGTTTGGTCATGGGCTGGGGACGAATGTTTCTAGTAAGTGAGATAGGCAATCATTTACACATATATGTCATTAAAACTAAATTGGCAAAGTTTACAAAACAAAAGAAATAACGTTTTAATGTATTGAGTCGAGCTATTATAACTTGTACTCTACAACTGTCACCAGAATGATTTCGATTTGTGGAGACTTCGAGTTATAGAATTGGTTTAGATTGTACTGCAAACTGTCCAACTTATTGACGCTTTAAGTTATTTAAAGTATTTTGTTGACGGTTGGCAACATATACCCCCTTGTTAAGGTCACCAATCACATTATTATACCCTTGCAGAGGGTATTATAATTTTGGTCAAAAGTGTGCAACGCAGTGAAGGAGACATCTCCGACCCTATAAAGTATATATATTCTTGATCAGGATCACCTCCTGAGTTGATATAGCCATGTCCGTCTGTCCGTCTGTCCGTCTGTCCGTCTGTCCGTCTGTCTGTCCGTCTGTCTGTTTCTACGCGAACTAGTCTCTCAGTTTTAAAGATATCGAATTGAAACTTTGCACACACCCTTCTTTCCTTTGCACGCAGTATATAAGTCGGAACGGCCGGGATCGGCCGACTATATCCTATAGCTGCCATATAACTGATTGATCGGAAATGCCATAACTCTGCTGTTTGTTAAGTTAGGAAGTTGCAATTTTATATGGGTTTTATATTTGGCCAATCAATCCGACCTACCAAATTTCATAAAGATCGGCCGACTATATCCTATAGCTGCCATATAACTGATTGATCGGAAATGCCATAACTTTGGTGTTTGTGAAGTTAGGAAGTTGGGATTTTTTATGAGTATTAAGATTGCATCATATGAATAATTTTGGAGAATATAATTTACAGAATATTCTGCAAGGGTATATCAACTTCGGCTCCGCCCGAAGTTAGCTTTTCTTTCTTGTTTTAAAATATATTTAACAGAAAAGGAAGCAAAGTTAATAAGCCCTTGCAGCAAAAATGTAATGTTCTAGAATTTTGAATTGTTTGTGTATATGTCTAAAAACAATAGAGCCATGTTGTTTTTTAAGACATTTTTCATCAGTTTTTTATTAAAATTAAATTAATTGAAAATACTACATATCGGAGTATATCTTTACAAACAACGAAGTTATATTTTGTAGAATGTATGTTGTTCCGTTTTATATACACCAACAAGAGAATAGAAGACTTTTGGGATAGTTTCATTCAGCTCTAAGTCATACAGAATCGGACAGACGGACCGACGGACATGGGTCTCCTGGTGATGCTCAATATACTGTATGTACTTTATAGGGTCGGAAATGTCTCTTTGACTGCATTGCAAACTGAACTAACTGAAATTATAACACGCTCTGCAAGGGCATAAAAATGATCTCGATCTTTTGGAAATATGTTACTAATATGTGCTTATGTGTTTATCTAGGCCGGTCCGCTTGCCTCGTACATGCTCCATATCGACGTGAAGATTATAGACTCCCTCAAGTGCGCCGAACTTCTGAAGGTCCCAATATTTGACCTCCTTTGCGCCATAGACGACAACAATTTGACGGCACAACAACCGTGCGTCGGCGACTGGGGGTCTCCACTGATGCACGAAAATACGGTCTACGGGATCGTGAGTATTCTGGTGGGTTGTGGCTCCGCCGACCTGCCATCTGTGTACACCGATGTGTATAAGAACTCGGATTGGATCCAGGCGAAAATAAGCGACGATGCGGGCAGCACTTTCTCTGCACCTCTTTTATTAGTGTATTTTTATATAATGCTTATTTAAATTGAGTAATTTTTACTTTTTATAATGTGTACCAAATTTAACAGACAAACTTTTTAACTTTTGATAGCATAGAATAGAACAGATGTTCCATTACGAAATTAAAGTAATTTACAATTTTCAAGTATTTTTATTGAGGTATTATTTTTCCTATTCCATTTTATAAATAGCAATTGTCATCTGCTTTTCATAAATTACCCTTTAATGTACTTTTTTGACCAAATTCACTTTGATTCAACATTTATAAGCTTTCTTAAAGAACCCAAGTAAGTTTTGTTTTCTGTTTCCATATGTAGTGGCGAAGGCAGGAGGCTTTCTTAAAGCGCTTTAATTGAATTCGGCTACTAAGTTCAGGTTATGGATTCCGGCTAACACTCGGCTTTGGCTTAACAACTAACCAACTGCCAACAGCAACAGCAACAATTGCAGATTGTGCTGCACTCACGAGCGGGCAATAAAAGGGCAACCGACCAGAGAACGACAAGATGTACTCTAGTTGTTATTGCTGCTGTTGTTGTTTTGGCCAAGAGTAAATTTCAAGAAGAAAAAAAATGGTTACTAGGTCAGTAACACTGCCAGAAACACGCGTCTGTTGGCGGGTTCTCTCGCCTTTTGGCCGCTTTGCAGACAATTGCGTGTGCGCTCTCTCTCTCAGCTGGAAAATCTCTCGCCGAGCCGCCCTTTTTAGTACACTGAGCACAGCCTCCGAGTTTTCCGAGATTTTCCGAACTCCGAGAGAGAGCCTGCGTTTTGTAGCTTTGTCGCCCAGCCGGATTTCGAGTCTCAACCACACCTGCTCAGCATCCAACTCAGTACTCAGTCGTGCGCGCGTCAAACAGGACGATTACGGCGGATAGTCATAAGGATGCTGGCTCTCTAGCGGTCTAGGGAAATCGGAAATTCGGAAAATCGGACGGACCTCAACGAACTCCAACACGGATCGGGCCAAAAAACCGAATTCGAGGCGAGTGATAAAAGAAACCGCAAGGCAAAAAAAGAAAAAGAAAGAAAAGAAAAACCGGACCGGAGTCGCGCGCATTAAGTGATAATAAAGTAGCGGCAATCATTTTCAAAATTGTGTGCCAGCTTATGCAAATGTAAAAGTCGCTTAAGAGCCAATTCCCAAATATTCCTCAAGTTTCGCCCAAAAGAAAAAGCTAAGCAAGAAAAGCCGCAATTTAAGTGTGCTGTGTGTGACCAAACAACTTACAAGCCACCAAAAAAAAAAAAAAAAAATATATATAAAGGAAAGAAAAATAAATCTCAAAGACTGGAAGGAATTGTAAGCCGCAAATGAACAGCGACAAATGCCCGGCCCTCTTTTTTGTAAGTTGCTAAATTTGTTGAGGCCCCATTGACTGACTGACTGAATGACTGACTGAATGAATGACTGACTGAGTAAATGACTGACTGGGAATGACTCGGCGACTCCGTGAGTGCCCCGACCTTTGGTTATTGACGAGCATTAATATAAACAGCGGAATTTGTGCTCATTATTTGTGACTTTGGCTTTCGTTGGCATGGGAAATTGTCAGATTCAGAGGCAGAAAAATAAATTATCAATTATCGGGGCACTTGTCTTCGATTGCCAGGATTTCTTTACATCTTGGCGGGTCTAAGGCTAAATACAAAGCAAATATTTGGCATGCAAACATTAAAAGAGAGTCATGTAAATAAATACCAAATGATAAAGATATATTTTTGGCACACAAAACAAAAAACAGATATAATCAAGTGTCGTATATATAAATTAGAAATGATGGCAAATTGAAAATTCAGATATCCCCAGTTATTGGGTTTCGGTGGTTGCCTTGCTTTTTCGGCATGACATTGGCATACTAATCACCTCATTGAAATGCAAATGAGCTGCCTTATATTATGGATTTTATCTGCGGCCTAATAATTTTCCTGTTACATTTTTATCTCCCCGGATTCGCTAAATACCTGGCATCGTGTTTTGTTTTTCATCCACGGGTCGCACGTGCCCGTCGACAAGGGAAAAGGCAAAAAACATTGTGGGAGAGTTCGTTTTGAAAGGCAAATTTTGAAGGTCCCGACTCTGGGCGATCCCTATCATCTGGCTGGCTGTAAATTACTGGGCCACTCGCAAAGGTCAGCCAGGGATCCGGATCCAGTATACAGTATACAATATCCAGTATCTCCAGCCGGAGCAACGTGTTAAGTTGCGAATGAATAGAGGCGAAAGTCGGGCAAAAAGTAATCAGCAAGTGGCTACAAAATAATTATTTAATTAACGGAAGTGCCTCTGCAGGACAGCGATGCAGCTCCTCGACTTCTCAGCTCCTCCGGCCTAAATGCCCATTCATTCGTTTCACTTATCTGGGTCCGCCTGTGTCTCGGCCGTCTTTTTGTTTGGCCCCCTCTAAATAAGCCAAGTCCCGGCCGATTCAACTCAGAGCCACTTAAACGTCCGTGACGTTCAACTTTAGGCTCCTAATTTAAATTTAATTAAGTGGGATCATTCGTTTAATGGAAACTGGCCGAGTCGCAGCTCTTGTCGCACTCTACGTTAGTTTTGCCATCGTCATTATAACGAATAAAGTTCCGAGTGCCAGAGCCTCGAGCCACGGCTATATGAATATTAAGCGTCTGTTAACCTATTTTCTAAATGCGCTAAATAATCCCGTTCGCGATGAGTAAGCCCGTTCCACGGCGATGTCGCCTTTGCTTCATCCCCGTTCTGGTACTCGAATTGGGATCCTGGTCTGGACTCTGGTTTTTATGGGCCCGACTAAAATAGACTCTGAACAGACTGCAACTTTTCACTCAAGTGGTTTTATGTAGATTGCTTCGGTCAATGTTTGCCTAATGAATGAATGGGCCCAGTCGCAGAGAAAGGGTTCCCTTTTTTTTGCCGCCCGGGGGATTAGTTACTGTAACTGATATGCTTAAAGAGTGGTTAAGCAGCAAAACAAACTTCAAAGGATGGAGCATTTTAAGTACAGGGGAACGAACTCTGGAGAGGGTCTATCTATTACCCTTTAGTTTCTAGGAATTCGATTTGATTGCAAGATAGCTTAGCTAGCTTTTACACTTTCTGTGTAATTAACATTTAGAAAGTGTGCCTTCATAACTTTTAATTAGCTTTTTCCTAACCACTAAAGGAATAAGATAGCAAGTAGAAAATATTGCGGATATAAATTTCAAACAGTATACACAACTTTGATATTTTTAAAAAATAAATTATGCCTTCTGCATGCTATATTACAATCTACATATTTGTAAAGATAAAATCTGTGCATGCATCAGCAGTATAAAATGTTTACAAAAATAGTAAAAGGTAAACTGCATTCGATTTTCCCCAAACCAAAATCAGATAAGCAAATGCCCAAGCTATGAATATTTATCCTTTAAAAATACCAAAACCAATATGATGTACCCCAGCAATGTTCAAGAGTTAACGGGAACGGAGCGCATACAGATGGGGCCGCTTTTGTGCGGCATACCTCAAATAAGCCGATTTAAAAACAATTTCAAAAATTAAACCATTCTTAAAGCCCCGGGGGAATGCAGACGTGAAACGTAAAAACATTTCCCCCCACATAAAAAAACGGCGATCCAAAAATAAAATTCCAATAAGCGTGCGTTCGAGAGGTTCGAAAGGGGGCGGAAAACAGGGAAAAAGGCCAAAGGGATATGGAAAACAGACATTTTCGAGAGGAGGGACCCACAGACCGACAGCCCGAGTCACACAGCCAAGCGGGCAGTCACTCAGTCAGCCCGAGCTCTGCAATTTTAAATAATTAACAATAAAAGGCATAAAACAAAAACGTAAACAAAAATAAAGCAGCAAAGAGGGCGCAGAAAAACAACATGCATAAAGGACATTTAAAATAAGCGCAAAATCAGCACAAAAACAGTCAGCGAACCGAAAGGATAACGACTGGGGGATATGCGCCGCGGGGGCGTGCCCAGGGGGCGGTAGGTTGCAAAGGAGGCGTGGCAGGACGACAGAGGCTGAGGCAACAATAACTGCACAAGCTGCTGGCACAGTGACACACTGACAACGCACAAACACAACAGCAAGAGCAGTCGCATGAGGAGACACACACACCCACACACACCGCACACCTGCATATAGACCAGGTGTACATATTTGCATACAGTTCACTGGGCACACACACTCGCAAATGCTAGCCTCAGCGGAAAGTGAATGGAACGCGACAGTTGCCAAGTCGGCTGCCATTGTGCCAGGTGCCAGTTGCCAGTTGCCCGTTTACCTGTTGCTACAGAGCAAGAAAATGCCAACCGAAGTAGTCTTAAATAATGAAATGCTTCAAAGAAATAGTAAATGCTATCAGTCACATTTTTCAATACAAATGTATTTATGTATTTGTTCACATAAATTGTATAAGCGTTATAGGTGTAATTGATATAATGTAAATCCAGAAAATACTACCAAAAGTCTCCAAAGAAAATTGAATTTTAAATTATAAAAATATTTAGTTTCTTATATAAAAAACCTTGCCAATAAAAAATACGGGGTTATTTACATATCTCTATTGCGTATATATAAAGACTCTGTTCTATTCTAAGATAAAACAAAAATCTATAAGGTCTTTGGCTACAGAAGGCTTAAAAAATGTTTACCAAATGCAAAGCACACGGGTTCTTAGCAATAATATTTACAAATAGTTTAAGATAACTATTTGCTTGAGTTTTAAGAACTTGCACAAAGTCAATCAATTTCCGTGACACCAATGTATAGTTTGCAATTGGAATAAAAAATATTTTTGTAGCATCCCGGACTATATTAACTCTAATTGTCATGCTTTTAAAGGCCCAATTGTGATAGTTTAAAAATAATGTTTGCACCTTATATTATGCCGAAAAAGTTCCAATTCAGTGACTACTTAGTGTAATTTTTTCCTGTGCAGTTGCCAGCTTTTCAGGTGTTGAAGACACGTGCAGGCCAACGCGTGCCAGAGTGAATAGCTGGGGTGGTTCAAAGGGTGGGATTAAAAAATACATACTAATTTGCCCCAATAAGCAGGAAAACGTTTAATTAAGCACACAAAGCCGAAAATTTAAGCGACTTACACGGACGCAATTTGCATGATAACCTAACACGAAATCTCCCGAAAATCTTCTGATATATTTAACATA